CTGACCTCAAGTGATCCGCCTGCCTCAGCTTCCCAAAGTGTTGGGATTACAGATGTGAGCCAGTGTGCCTGGCCACAAATATTTTTGAGACATACTTTTCTGAGCTTCTTCTAATCTCAAGTAATAAGGTCTCATCATGAAGTCCCAGAAACTGTCACCCCAGAAGATACAGGTTCTGTCATTAGCAGCTAACAACACAGCATGGGTCCTAACACTGGACTGGGATATTCATTTCAGACAAATCCACTTCCTTATCTATAAAATGGGTTAAGACCTACTTCCAAAGGCTTGTGAAAAAGTAAGTTTTAGTACACATAGCAGTGGTCAGATTCAATACTTGTAATCGTTCCCTACTTCCTTTATTAGAATTACTAACATCCAGGCTGGGTGTGGTGGTTCATGCCTGTAATCCCAGCACTTTGGGAGGCCAAGATGGGTGGATCACTTGAGGTCAGGAGTTCGAAATCAGCCTGGCCAACATGGCAAAACCCTGTCTTTACTAAAAAATACAAAAGTTAGCTGGGCATGGTGGCGAGTGCCTATAATCCTAGCTATTCAGGAGGCTGAGGCAGAAGAATTGCTTGAACCCAGGACGCAGAGGTTGTGGTGAGCTGAGATCTCGCCACTGCACTCCAGCCTGAGTGAGAGACTCTGTCTCAAAAAATTAAGAATATCCTAACACCTGTTGGAATCTATTCATGGGAACTACAGATTAAGTTTATGTCAATAGTAAGACAGAGATGGGAATTTGAAAGGCCATACCCTCACGAAAAGTATGCCAGGGAAATTCCATGTTCTGATTTCTCTCCTTTAGGACTGTCAATGGCAGGATACCAGCTTTGGTCACCATGGACCCCACTGGACGAGAGCTTCCAATGGCTGCGGCACACAACACCTACACCTTCCTCCAAGCACCCCTTTAGGGCCTCCCCCTGCTTCCCACACACACCATCTGACCTAGAAGTGCAGCTGTGCTTTCAAGAGGTCACTCTAGTCCTAGACAGTCTGGAATCTGGATTGAGTCCCAAGTTACCCTGCCACACATCAGAGTTGCGAAACATGAACAACAAAGGACTGGTCAGGAAGCCCCAGCCCATACGCCTCAGTGGAGTAGATTCTGTCTTTGGCAGGGTTATCACAGCTCAGCCACCAAAGTGGACTGGGACTTTCAGAGTTTCAGACAAGTCAGCCTTTTGTAAAATCATTAGCAGGGAGCACCAGTGGCCCATTGGACTTAAGGAACCTCAAATTCAGATGACAGTGACTATGTGCAAACAGATGCTGCGCTCTATCCTCTTGCTGTATGCAACTTACAAAAAGTGTACCTTTGCCTTGCAGCACTCCAAGTAAAGGGTCCTCATTTGATCCCCATTTCTTCATACCATGCCCTTTGGTATGTATGCACCTGAAGCTTACAGAACCCTGTCCACGTAAATGAAACTGTGACACTGCCCCAGCTGTCTTGCTTTTGTCAGGCAGTGGTGATTCAGGAGCCCCTTATATCCCTTCCCCTCCAAAAAAGGACCAATGATACAGAACAAGGGAGAAAATTTCCATTATAAAGTTGAACGATTTTGAGTCAAACTAGCATTGACATGTACATGTGATAACCATTAAAGAAATAATATAAACCAATGAGCCTAGTGTGAACTCATGTAAACACCTGAGACCACAGTGACTTGGGGGGGAAAGGGGTGCTGAGGAGAAAGATGTATGGATTTCTATGTACCAGAGGATGTAAAAAAAAATCTATATATAGGTCAAGGATTCGTTTAAAAACAACCTCCCGGCTGGGCACAGTGGCTTACTCCTGTAATCCTAGCACTTTAGGAGGCCGAGGAGGGCAGATCACCTGAGCTCAGGAGTTCAAGACCAGCCTGGCCAACATGGTGAAACCCTGCCTCTACTAAAAATATAAAGATTAGCAGGGTGTGCTGGCAGGCGCCTGTAATCCCAGATACTTG